CATCCACTGAAGGGTTGCTGGTTTGATTCCTGGTTAGGGCACATACCCAGGTTTTGGGTTCGATCCCCAGTAGGGAAGAATAGGGGAAGCAGCTGATCAATGTTTCTCTCTCTCTCTCCCTTCTTCTCGCTCTGAAAAAAAAAAAATCAATTAAAACATTAAAAAATAAATAAAAGATTACAGCTATAAGAGAAACTTCCTCTATATTTATCCCTAATCTTTGAATTTGCCAATTGTAAGCTCTACGGTTGTATTCATGGTTTTACTACAGATATGTCCATTCACAAGATACATAAAATTGTGTTGTGTGTTTTAAACTTAATACGCACGGTACCATAATGCACACATTCTTTTAACTTTGACCAGTATTCCGTTTCGTGTTCCATCCTTTTCACTGCTGAAGAGCTTTCTACTGCACGCATGTACCCCAAATTTATTTCTCCATTATCCAAATTTTGACTATCCCATTCCTGCAAAGAACATTTTGAAACATGGCTTTTTTTCACCTGGCTTTTTACACTTACTCCACATCAGTGGTTCACATTCCTGGCTGCACATTCAAGTAACTTCTAAGTGGGAAATTGCTGCCCTGCTCCAGATCGATTATTGTGGAATCTCTGGGGATGGGTCCCTTGCACTAATGTTTTTAAAAAGTACTCCAGGGCTGCTTTGCACCCCTGGGCTGTATCAGCATATACAGCAGTCAGTCTCATATCTGAGCCTGCCTCAGCGTCACCCGGACGGCTCCCACACAAAGAACCCCACCCACAGAGTATCTGATTCTGTGATGGAGCCTGAGAACTTGCATTTCTAACAAGTTCCCAGGTGATGTTGACGCTGCTGGCCTGGGGACGACACTTTGAGAACCATGACATAAAGAGTGCCCTTATTCTTTTTCAACATCTGCACAGTATTCCATCCTATGCCTATTCAGTCATTTCTTTAACCAGTCCTCTGTTCTTGGATATTTAAGTTCTTTTCCATCTCTGGTCACAAGAAAAACGATTCCCTACAATGAAACATGATTCAGATATAAAAATCAATGAAGTACTATACTGATTTGCTAGAGCTGCCACAATAAAGTACCTGGGGGGGGGGTGCTTTAACAACAGAATAATGACTGGGGGCTTTACCAACAGGAATTTATTGTTTCGCAGCTCTGGAGGCTAGAAGATCACGATCAAGGTGTCAGCAAGGTTGGTTTCTTCTGAGACCCATCTCCTTGGCTTGTAGATGGCCATCTCTCCCTGTCTTTACACGTGGTCTTTGCTGTGTGTCTGGGCCCAAAATTCCTCTTTTTAAATATGTTTTTATCAATTTTAGAGAGAGGAAGGAAGAGAGAGAAACATCGCTGTGAGAAACATCGATTGGCTGCCTCCTGTACACACTCCAACTGGGACCAAACACGCAGCCTGGGCATGTGCCCTGACCAGGAATCGAAGCAGCAACCTTTCAGTGCATGAGACTACCCTCAGCCACCTGAGCCATACCGGCCAGGGCAAATTTCCTCTTTTTTAGAAAGACACTAGTCATATTGCATTGGGGCTCACCCTAATGACCTCCTTTTAATTCAACAACTTCTTTAAAGACCTTATTTTTAAATATAGTCATATTCTGAGGTTATCCCTGAGGATTAGCATTTTAATACATGAATTTTGGGGGAATACAACTCAGTTCATAACAAGTACTGATACATGTAAGTTATCATATGGATGAACCTCAAAACATGCTAAGTAAAAGAATCTAGATACAGTCACATATTGTATGACTCCATTTACATGAAATGTCCAAAATAG